GGGGGGGGGGGGGGGTGTGAAAAGGAAAAAGGACATCCCCACCCCTTTACAAAAAAAAAAAAAAAAAAAAGAAGAAATAAAGGAAAACCAAAAACAAAACAACCCCCCCCCAAAAAAAAAAAACAAAAAACACAGGCACCACACTCAGAGAAACCTTTCTTGTTTGCCTGCATGGGCCATGCATGCATCCTGGGCCAGGAAACGAGTTTGGAGCTGATTTAAGTGAAAGTGTGGCCTTCCTCAGCTGATGGTGCATGAGGGTGATGTGTTTCGGTCTAATGTTAAGTCAAACCAAACCAAACCAAAATGAAAAAAAAAAATGTTTAGAACTGCATTGACTACTGGCATATTGATAGAAAAGCAAGCATGCATAGTGTTTGCCTTTTTCTTTTTCTTTTTTGTTTATCCCTTCAGCTTGTACTAAGTTAGGGGCCAGAAGGAATAGACAGTTCAGGGCTGTGGAAGGACGTGTCATGGTATACTTGATTTCTCACTGTTATGTCCTCATGCATTTACTCCCATGAGACTCTGCATCCCACACCCTGATTAATAATAGCCTCTTGGCTAGGAAACTTCTCAAGAATGCATAGAACAACTTATAGTGGAACTTGATTGACATTCCAGAACTTACTTTTTGTTTGTTTTGTCTTGGAATAGCACTGAAATTGTTACTTTGAGCAGGTTGTAAATGAGAATATTGGAGCAGAACCACCAAATAAGCCTCTGTAGGCAACATAGTTTGAAAACATAGACTCCAAACTTTTCCCTGCTCTTCAGGATTGTGGAAACTTACCAAATGAAATGGCCATTTTGATGACTTTTTGAGGAGTATCTGAATTGTCAAGTTCTTTCACAGTCATTCACAGAAATATCCAAACAGGCTAAAGCATTACTGTCAAGTGTAGGGAAGGGGTGGGGAGGAATAGGAGGTGGTGGTTTGTAAGGTTCTCCAAGTTATGTTTGAAACACTTTTGTTACCAATGACCATTCAGAATAACTTTTTAGCTTCTTAACCTTAATGTCCCATTTGGAAGTAATGCACTAGCAGTGCGGCTAAACCACTTGGGACATAAAGTGTATGTTAAATGTTGGTTGATTAGTTGACTAATTAGAAATTCAGATAAACACATGAATTCAGAAACTCGTTCTTTTCTGTTACAGATGAACCTGTAGCCTTGCTTTGAAAAAGCCATTTTATGTAACTCTTGACTGTGAATAAATTGCTAACACCCCCGTTGGGATCATCCCTGGAAAAGCCTGCCATTTGAGAGGTCCTTTACTTGCCCCAATCCTGGGCATTAGGAAGAGAGTGTTTTTCCTGTCTGTTGTTTTCCCCCTGATCATTATGAGCGTTGGCTTTTCACCCTTGAAGTAAAAATGTTGAAAGCCGAGTCTTCAGGTGAAAGAACCACTCTCAGAAGTGCCTCTCCTCACAGGAATGCATACAGAACAGAGTTCCAGGCACTGAAAAGTACTTTCGACAAACCTAAGTCAGATGGGGAACAGAAAACAAAAGATGGAGAGGGCTCCCAGCAGAGCAGGGGTAGGAAATATGGCTCCAATGTCAACAGAATTAAAAATCTATTTATGCAGATGGGTATGGAACCCAATGAGAATGCTGCTGTTGTTGCCAAAACTAGGGGGAAAGGTAGACCTTCATCCCCTCAGAGGAGAATGAAGCCCAAAGAATTTGTGGAGAAAACAGATGGCTCAGTGGTTAGGTTGGAGTCCTCTGTTTCTGAACGAATTAGTAGATTTGACACAATGCACGATGGCCCTTCATATGCTAAGTTCACAGAGACTCGGAAGATGTTTGAGAGAAGTGTGCATGAGTCAGGGCACAATAATCGCTACTCCCCAAAGAAAGAGAAAGCTGGAGGGGCTGAACCACAGGATGAGTGGGGTGGTTCCAAGTCCAACAGAGGTAGCAGTGATTCCTTGGACAGCCTGAGTCCCCGGACTGAGGCTGTCTCCCCAACAGTGAGTCAACTGAGTGCAGTGTTTGAGAGCACTGAGTCTCTGGGTGCCATCACTTCTGAGAAGGCTGAAAACAGTGACTACTCAGTGACTGGGCATTACCCTCTGAATTTGCCATCTGTTACCGTTACCAATCTTGATACCTTTGGCCACCTCAAGGATTCTAATTCAAGATCTTCTCCAAACAAACACGGTGTTGAGACGGAGGATGCTCAGGGTAGTGCAACTCCCGAAGTGGCTTGGAAAGGTACCTCTCTAGCTTCATTGCCGAGTGAAGAGATACAGCCGAGCAAGGAAGCTGAGGACGTCACGTCTGCTCAAGAGACTCTGGGCAGCATTGGCAAGGATATTGCTGAAGAACCCTCTGCTGAGAACCAGGCAATGCCGAAGTCTGGTATCCTCTCCCCACAGAACCAAGCTTTAGGAGATGCTGAAGCTAGTGTGGTGGGGAGTGGGACAGCACAGCCACAGAAGAGAGACCTTACAGGTGGTGATGTAGCCTCTCCCGATGCTTCTGCTTCCAGCTGTGGGAAAGAAGTACCCGAAGACTCAAACAATTCCGAGAGTTCCCACGTATACATGCATAGTGACTACAACGTGTATAGGGTGAGATCCAGGTATAACTCAGACTGGGGAGAGACAGGCACTGAGCAAGACGAAGAGGAAGACAGTGATGACAACAATTACTATCAGCCCGACATGGAGTACTCCGAGATCGTTGGGTTGCCTGAGGAGGAAGAAATCCCGGCAAATAGGAAAATTAAGTTTAGTTGTGCTCCGATTAAGGTGAGTATGCTTTTTCAGATCATTCCCTAAGTTCCCTTTCAGCACTGGGGCCTATGCAGGATAGAACTGACAACTACTAGGTTTTGTAAGAAATTCCAGGTTGTTGGTATGCACCTGTTGTGGGGTGATTTCAGGCGTGTGGTGTTGGGGAGGCATCAGGTTGTTTAATGTGATGTACGGTGGGCATAAAGCAAGGGAGAAATAAGCAAGTTGAAGAAGTTTGTGAGGTACATTCCAGTGGCGTGGAGTCTGGATACAGGAACACTGAAATACATCTACTTTTACAAGGGGTTCCTTAAGATTCCAGGTCAGTAATCACATTCTGCGTCTACATTGCAAAATACCGGGTATAAGGCACACTGGGGAATTCATGCTAGCCTTGAAATCATTTTCTTTATTTACTTGCTTTAATGTGTTGGAGTTATTCCCTACTTCAGTGTAAGTGGATCGTGATGCTGAACTTCTTTATTTCTGTTTGAACTGCTACTTGGTTGTGAACATTTGCTTTGTGGAACTATATTAGCTGACAAATACTTTGTATGCAAAGCCGTGACTATACACAACTTCGATTTCAGAAATTGTTGATGTTGCTTTACAGTGAAGTTTTGTGAAAGGAAGCATAGCCGACTTGCCATTCGTGGATTTATTTTTGCCGCTTAGAGACTGTATAGGTGCCAATTGAATTCGGGTGTTTTATTCTAATGCTTTCACTTAAGTAGCATTTAGTGTAGATGAAGAGCAGAAAGTGTCTGAGCAGCGGGTGTGGGATGGCTGTTATTAGTGGGAAGGAGTCTGGGGTTGAGTATCAGAATCCCCTGGAGTGCTTCTTCACGGTGTGCTTGCCCACCAGATTGGTCCTCGGACTCTGGCATCATCTTTTCGGGGAGCCTGGGGAGTTGTGGTGCAAGTGTGTTGTTTGATACCATATTCCAGGGTGTCCATGCTCTACAGATGAGAGACCTGGAATTTGATAACGTATCTTTGTCAATTTGCTCCTCAAAACCTAAAGTCAATTGTTTTTTTTTATTTTTTGTCATATGAACTTGCATATGAAGCTATAAGGTAGACAACTTACATGGAAATGCCCCCAGAAAAGCCTGCTACTTCTGTGATTATTATTATTAATAATAATATTAATATTATTAATATTCAAAATATTATTTTGAAAAGCAGTAATATTCTATGTAGTTCTGTGTAGATGCTAGTAAGGCGGAGTTTTACTTTATTAGCATAAGGTAATGCCCTGGGTTAGAATGACCACATGCAGTTCGTCTGTGTTTAAAGAGATTTAGTTTGAGAGTAAGCTGTGCTTTTGTATCTTTTAATACTTAAGTCTCTCTGTTCACCTGTCCTTGGGGTTATTCCCACTTTTAGGCACCATCTTCAAAGGTATCCTTTCCCAAGCCTGTCCAGGGAACCCCCAAAGTCTACTATTTATCTGTTCTTTGAGCATCATCTTTCTTGCCCCCCCCCCCCAGGAAGGAGCCATTAAGGTTAAACTGTTTTAAACTGAACAAGAGATGTGTAACTGAAAAACTCTTCAAAGAGTTTGTTAATCCCAGCCACTGACTGCTTAATGCAGGGGAATAGCAGATTTTGAATTTATCATTTAGTGTGTCAGCCATTGAGCCTCATGGACTATTAGCCTTGTATTTGGGTCCTCTCATGCCCAGAACATAACTGCGTAGTATGTTTTTGTGATGGATTTTAAAGGATTGCCATTGATGTGAACAAACCAGCTCGTTGCGTATGAAAATTTTAAATTCAGACTTTCTGGTGTCCGTTGCTTATAATAAGTCTGTTGCTTCTTTCATGCAAACTGGGTTTCAATATAAAAGAGAGATAATGTGTGCCTTTAGCTCTTTTCATAAAGAACTTGGGTCATGGTAAGATTTGAGTAACTGAGGGCCTTTGGCTTTCATTGCACAGTTAACGGGACTAGTTGGAGAGAATTAAGTTTGCAAACAGAAGTGTCATTCTTATCTCTTCTGGAATGAATAGGACAATTACTCTTTCTTGTTGCTTTCCTTGTTTAACATGAAAGTGGATACACTGGGACATTTGAAAGCTGCTTTCTACTCAGGGTGGAGAATTGTTCACTCCCCCCCTTTTCTCCCTTCAGAAGATTTGCTAATTTAAAAAGCAAATCCAGCAAGTACTGTTGTAGGTTCACCATGTGTGTACCATGCTGCTAGCTGCAGAGAACACTCACTTCTGTCCGAGTAGCCTGTGTCTGGGATCCAGTAGTCAGTCCTTCATACATTTTATTTGAAATAAACTCAGGTTAAATAGTGTCATAAAACTGTGCCCAACTGTCCTGTGTCTTTTGCGTGCTTTGATAGTTCTTGTCTATACTTGATGTGCTGTGACAGGGATTCAGTACGTTATTTGAAATAGGATACATTCACCCATTCACTGTGCATGCTTGCTTCTCTCCGTAAAGCTTTATTAGGCAGTGGAGAGTTAAGATCAAAGTCTTTTTCTTTGATAGTTTCAAACACTTTCTCTTTGAGAAGCAATAAAGAGCATGTTCTTTACAGAAATCATGTCTGAGAGTTTTATATTCTTGTTAATCTTTTTCTTTACTAGGCAAAATTTTCTCAACAAAAGTGCTTCATTAGTCTTGCGTATGAGCTTTGTGGGTGTGATATTGTCTCTAATGTCTAGTTCAGTTCTCTTATAGAGATTTTGAATAAATGTTACCTTGAGATGTCTTAAATCTGGACCCGGAAAAAAACCCAACCAAACAAAAATAATAGTTGATCTTTGCATTATATTCCTTGTACTCATATTCCTAGTTGTTTGAAAATGGTTAGATTCACTGAGACATGGTGGCACATGCCTGTAGTCTTAGGACTCAGAAGGGTGGACCAGCTGCGTTGAAAGTTCAAGGCCATGATGGGATACATAGTAAGAAACTACTTCAGTGCTCGCCCCTCATCCAAAAGATCTGATTGTATTGCTGCCTAACACTTAGAGTAATTTCCCTATCTTTCACAGGCACAATTGTTTATAATTGTATAGGTTGATGTATTTAATAGGGTCATGGAATATCATAATATGATTATTAATAGAAAATACAAACCTTACCTTGAAGATACAGGGTAGGAGAATGTTATGACCATGTTAATTTCAGGTATAGAATTATGTTTTAGTTTTCGTAAACTTCTCAAAACTAAAGAATTTAATTAAAGGAATTTAATTAAAGCAAATGTGCTTTATATCAGTGAAGACCAGCAAAAGTAGCCTTTGTCACTATTTTTTCTATCATTTTAGAACATTTATTGAGCCTCTAGTATGTATCAGGAAGACTGTGAATAAAATCCATGAGAACATTTGTCCAGAATTGTGGGCATCTCATTAACAAGGCTTTTCAGTCTTATGTGCTGTGACCTTTGTGAGGCCACCACAGCCTCATTAAGGAACTCATAAATAACCCTTTCTCTTTTGCTAGAAGCCTTAATATTCTTTAGGTTTGTATTCTTGAACACTGCGCCATCTGAAAGAGAGTTTCTGAACTCCCAGCAAGTATGAGATTGCAGAATTAATGTTACAGTGCATTGTTATACCTGCTCGGAGTGCATCTCAAACTGTGTTGCTCCTTAGTGATCCTGTATTTGAATGACAGGCAAGAGCAGAGGCCCTTTTTCCCATTATAGGAGTCTTGGAAGATGATAGTTCTCTGTGTACTCGCTGCCTCGTGGAGGCTCAGAGTCACTGTCCTGGGCACAAAATGCTATTTGTTCAGTTCTGATGTTCAGAGCAGAGTTCTGAGACCCAACTTTTTGTGTTTGTGGGGGCTTTAAGTTTCAACAGTGCTTCTTAAACTGAAATATCCATGTGAATCACTCAGAGATCTTGTTAAAATGCAGATTCCGTTTCTGTAGGTGTTCCCTGAGAAATTACCTTGGTGCAGTGATTTGATCCTGAATACAGTGCTGAGCCATTGCAGAGGCGATGCAATAGAAGCAGTCAGCAACCAGGTTAAAATGACTGAGTCTGGAATTTCTCAGCTCAGTTTAAAACACAGACCCAGAAGCAAGAGGAGGTCGATCCACTTAAGACAGGAAGCATAGTGCAGTGCTTGCTTAGTATCTCTTGAAGTTCATGCTACCCACTCGTCTCATGAACTCATGGGTACATAGTGCTCACTTGTCTTTCTGTTTTCTTTCTTTTTGTGGTGAGTCTTGCTATGCAGCCTAAGCTGGCCTTGTCTCTCTCTTTCACACCAGCCTTCCTATGTTGATGGCAGGGCTCGGGACCAGAGCTGATCCCGGGCAGAAATCATTTAGTACAATATCAACGTACTAAAGATACACTGGTCAGTGTTGATACGGGACGGGCACACTGGGTATAGTGTGGCTTTGCAAGCTTGCCTGATGATTAGCCACAGGGTTTTCTGTTTGTTTGTTTTCAAGACAGGATTTTCTCTGTGTAGACTAGACTGTCCTGGCACTCAGAGATCCACCTGCCTCTGCCTCCAGAGTGCTGGGATTAAAGGTGTGCACCTCCACTGCTCGGCAAGCAGTTTTATTTGCTTTCCTTGGGGCTGTCCCTTGCCATTCCAGAAAAAAGAAAAAAAGAAAAAAAAAGCAGTTGGGGTGTCTGTAGTGGGTAGCTTTATATAGGGAGGTGGCACAGTTGTCCATCTAGAGATGACCTGAGATGACGTCATGTTTTAGTCCCTCGGCCTCTTTCTTTTTGCCATATTTTCTATGTATTCTAATTTTACACTATCAGGTGGTTACTAACTTACCTGATGTATTTTATATTTTAAATATCTCATCAGAATTTTGTCTTTCTCTACCAGTTTACATACTCGTATCTATACATACCCAAGCCTATGGTGCTTCTTTCTCATAATCTATTTCCCACATTTGATGTTACTCCTTAGGACATTCATTCAGCATATTTGTTTATTTTCATTTTGGGGGGTGAGGATGGGCAGCGCTGGGTATTGAACTTGGGGCCTTAGGCATGCTAGTCAAACAGTCTAATGA